ACCACCTCATAATACAATAGGAAGGTAGAACTACAGAAATACAGCCCTAAGACTAAGCCGCCTGTCAGAATTATTCAAAATTATACGCAAATGTTGTTTTTATTTATTGGACAATTTTCAGTATTTTTTTTCAAAAAATGGATTTTTTCAAAAATATATTCCTAACTGTTCCATCTTTCAATTTTATTGCAAAACTGGTTAATAGCTTTAATGTGCGACCCATAGACGAGTCGGCAACTCTTTAGAAAAAAATCGTAATCAGCTGGTAGCTCCACCATACCTTTTTATTGTACCATGCATGGTAGAAGAATACAGGTAGTCGCATCGACACAGCTGCTGGGACAATGAAATGTCATACCAATTTTGGAATTTACATTTTTGAATGAAAAATTATTGAAATTTGTAAAAATTGAAAAATGAATATCATAACAACCTCGTCATATAAGAAATTTATAAATATCTACTAATTTTGAAGAAAAAAAAAAATAAAAAACATTTTTGACATATTAATCTTTCCAAACGTTCATGCATATACCTGCTTTCATGGTAGAAAAATACAGGTAGATGCATCAACGCTTGGGAGCATTGACATGTCAAAAAATTTTAAATGTCTTTTCAAATATAAGTAGATTTTTATATGTTTTTTTTTTATACGACGTCATTCGGAGGTTATTTTAATACGCGATTTTCAAAATTTTTACAAATTTTAATAATTTGTTATTAATTATTTTAAATTCCAAATTGGTTTGACAGTTCATAGTCCCAGCAGCTGTGTCGATGCGTCTACCTATATTCTTCTACGATGAGCTCTACCTTACATTTTTTTTTTTCAACTAGGCACACGTTGTCATATTAGGTACACCACTATGAGCTGTTTTATGGTTATTTTTACACTGCACTAACACAAAAAAAACGTTCCAAGTATACTGTTTATTGAGCACTTTTACTTTCATTTGAGGTCTTTTTAAAAAAATTTTCGTCACATAAATAATGAAAAATACTTTACCGTTAAAATGGTATACCCATTTGAGCCCTTTGTCGTGATTTTTAATAAATTTTAATTTAATACATTAAAGGACTCAAATAACCCTAATAGCAGCTTTAAACAGTATGTTTGGAACGCTTTTATTTTTAAATGTTTGTAGTGTACAGACAACAGGTGATAGGAATTATTAGGTGGGGTACCTTATATGACACAGCATAATAAACCCCGTATGCCCTATCAATTCAATAAATAAGTTATCCTTGGGCATTTTTCGCCGTTTGAATTCTGTATTCAAAGTTTTTTTTCAATTCTCAGAATTTTGTTTTAAAACTTTCTATTGAAATTTTTTAGAGAATTAATTGAGCAAATGTTTTTTGAAAAGAAAAAAGAATAAAAACAAAATATGGAGATGCAATATATGCATGATATGCTGATGTCAATGTCATTTGAAATGTTGTGATTATTTTGTGATGTTGATAAAAGAGAGGCGGTGAAATTAATGGTGTCGTCTACTTTACTTCACATTATTTTGGTTTTCTGCAAAAGTTTTTATGATATTCATGTTGGTATTGTCAACTATTTACATCCCTTGTTTTTCTTAGCTGTTAATTACTTTTGTTTTTTCATTGATAATTATTATAATGTTTTTGTTTTTTATTTCAAATATGTTTTTTTTTCGAACACTTAAAAAGTGTTTGCTTTCGCTTTTGTAAAAAGTTTTAGTTTCAATACAAATCATGGAGTTGGTTTTTTGGTTTTTTGTATAGAATATAGTTTTATTTATTTAATTTGAGAAAACAAAGAGAAAAAAATTATAAAGCAAAACAAATTTCTTTAAATTACAACTAATTTTCTTTTCTAAAATAATTATTACACAATTATTGTTTGATTTTTTATTTTTGGAAAATGGAATTTTTTTTTGTTTTTTATTAAATTTAGTTTGTTATTGTTATCAGAGGTTTGGTTTTCTGTTTTCTTTTTTATTTCTTCTTTGGACAAAAGGTTGATTAGTAGTTAGGGCAGGATTTTGTAATCTAACGGTAGTATTTTAAATTTTTTTGTTTTAGTTTTGTTTTGTCTATATATGGAAGTCTGTTACGGTATTCAAAAAGGTTGTTAGTTTATATATTTTTTTTGTTTTCGTTTAATAAAAAAATTTGAGCTTCAATACTGTTACATATTTGCAGTTGGGAATCTATGGAGTTCAGAAACAGAGGTTTTGTATTTTTGTTTATATATTTTTTAGAAACTACAAACTAAATGGTTTAGCAGCAATTCTTTTTTTTTACAAAAAATTAAAAAAATATTTAAGATTAATTTTGAATTTCTGTTTAAGTTAAATTTAACATTTTCTAATTGGTTTCTTTGCTAAATTGAAAATTTAAAAAACAAATAAATACATTTAAAATAAAAAATCTAATAATTTTTATTCTATAATAATTAATATGGTTTCAAATTGGTTTCTATTTTTCAGATTTTGAAAATCGTAATAACGTTTATTTGAAAGTGATACGAAACATTTCGCCTGTTGCCAAAATTATTGAAAATTTTAACATATTTGCATTTAAAGTTATTAAATTTGCCAAATGTAAGTAAAAGTACGTTTACACTTACTACATCGAGAGGATTTCAACTGTCAATGCCCATTGTCAAGTGAAATCGACTCTAAAACACAGAAAATTTTATTTGACTTAAAGTAGGTTGAGATCTAAATTATTTAAAAATTAACATATTTGCATTTGAAGTTATTAAATTGGCTAAATGTAGGTTAAAGTATGTTTACATTTACTACATCGAGAGGATTTCAACTGTCAATGCACATATGTCAAGTGAAATCGACTCATAAATTTTATTTGACTTAAAGTAGGTTGAGATCTAAAATATTTAAAAATTAACATATTTGCATTTAAAGTTATTAAATTGGCTAAATGTAGGTTAAAGTATGTTTACATTTACTACATCGAGAGGATTTCAACTGTCAATGCACATATGTCAAGTGAAATCGAGTCTCAAATACAGAAAATTATTATTTGACTTAAAGTAGGTTGACACCTATTAAATTGATTGATATGTCATTTTTTTTTTTCAAAAATAATTAAATTTATATGTTTTCTTATATGACGCTAATCGGAGGTTGTTATGAAATGAATTTTTCAACAGTTTTAGAAAATTTGATTAATTTTTCATTCAAATTTGTCAATTCCAAAATATGTTTGACAGCTCATTGTCCCAGCAGCTATGTCGAGGCGACTACCTTTATTCTTCTGCCATGTGCCAAACGTAATGTAAAAGTACGTTTACATTTAATAAATCGAATGGATTTCAACTGTCAATTCCATTGCGCCAATTGAAAACCACTGGATTTAAGAGCCGATTTCATTTGACGTGTACGCAATGGAATTGACATTTGAAATCCACTCTATTTAATAAGTGTAAACGTACGTACTTTCACCTTACATTTGGCACGTGGTAGAAGAATACAGGTAGTCGCATCGACACAGCTGCTGGGTCATTGAACTGTCAAACCCATTTTGGATTTGACATTTTTTAATGAAAAAAACTTTGAAATTTGTAAAAATTGTTAAAAAAAATGCATGTCATAAAAACCTCTGATCGGCATCGTATAAGAAAACATAAAAAATCTATTTATTTCTGAAAAAAAAAAAAACATTTTAACATTTTTGACATATCAATTTTCCCAAGGGTTGCTACATCCACCTGTATTCTTCTTCCATGATTTGGCAAGTTTATTAACTTTAATCACTTGTTATGTGTGTACGTCTTAGGACAGATTCCTAGATGCTTCTTCATTTATAACATCAGCTGACCAACTGTCAAAATATATCATTCTGATTTAATTCAAAAATGAAAAGCATTTAAACAAAATTTTTGACATTTAATCTGATTTTGAGAAGCTGGTGGAACTTTTATTACTTCCGCCATGGCCAGATCCCTTGATGCTTCTTCATTTGTAACATCAGCTGATCAGCTGACTAACTGACAAAATATATCATTTTGATTTAAATCAAAAATGAAAAGCATTTTTAAACAAAAGTTCGACATTTAGACTGATTTTGAAAAGCTGGTGGAATTTTAATTACTTACGTCATGGGTTTTAAATTTTTGACATATTTGCATTTAAAGTTATTGACGTTTTTATACATACACGACTTGTGGTTTCACCTTATGTCAGATGCTGGAATATTTTACTTGACGTTTTTTAAATTCTTCACAGTCAAGGGTATATTCCAAAGATACTGGTAAAACTCCCCACCACAGGAATTTTAATTAAAAGTTATTTAAAAATAACAAGTCTTTTAAAAAAAAGTCTGATGTAAACATAGCATAATGCCATGTTTACGTTAGAACTTTTTGTAGGGTTAACCTACTTTATTTGAAGTAAAAGTAATGGAAATGACAATTTAAATCCAAATCCAGTGGGTTAATCCTTATATATATAAACGCACTGTAAGACTATGTTTACATTAAACTCATTTAGTGCCATAACTGAAATATTATTATGTATTTGACATGAGCTTTCATACATTTCGCTTCACATTAATCGTGATGATAAAGGATTAAGGTGAGAATGCATAAAACGCTTTTTTGACTGACTTAAGTCATTAGCTGGTTTCTTTGTAGAGGAACAAAAGAGTTTTAGGTTGACTTAGATCGATTCTGGGCATATTCCTCTTTTTTTATTTTCCAAAGAATCCAGCTGATGGCTTAAGCCAGTCAAAAAAGCGTTTTATGTATTTTCACCATTATAAACACGATTAATTTGAAGCGAAATGTATAAATGACATTAATGTAAACATAGCTTATGTTGCATTAACATTTTTTTTTTTTGGGAAATCTTGTCATTTTTGACTTAAGCCAGTCAAAAAAGAGTTTTATGTCTTCTCACCCTTAGACTTTTGGAACTATGCCCCGACCTGTGTTCAAGTTTACATGGAAAAGTTTTATCGAATATATATTCAATGATTTTGACACATGTCATGAATTGCATCACTTTCAGACAACAAATTTAAATCATATTTTTGAGTTTATTGCAGTTTTTGTTTCTTTTTTTAGATTTTCTTCATTAATTTTAATTAAAATTAAAAACAAAAAATATTTATAAATTATTTACAGAATTTCTGATAGATTTTTCTTTTTTGTTTAATTTCCTTCAAAATTTCCCTCAATTTGAAAATTTATTTTAGTTGGGTTTTCCATATTCCTTGGTTTGTTATGGGTTTGTCGTTTTTTAAGTTGTTGTTGTTGTTCTTAATCTCATTTTGTTGTTCTTGTTGAATTGAATTTTTAGTTGTAAGAGATTTGGGTACAAAAAATCTCTTATTACATACACCCTGCGTGGTGATGTCCACCAAAAAAAAATATATAATTTGTGTTATATATTTTTTTTCCATTAATAATTAATAATTGATGTTGATTTCAAAAAGTTATTATTTTTTTGGTTTTTATTAACAGTCCTGGAAAGAAAGAGACACCAAAGAAGGAAAAGCATTAGTAAAAAGTTTTTAAAATTTAAGAGAGATTTAAAAAAATGGCTTAAATTATTGGAAATACTTTTAAATATTACCGAAAAATTTTCTTATTTTAACAACTAATATACGAACTTCCTTCCTTTCGAAACGCATTTATTCTTCATAAAAAAGTCTATTAAAATTTCGACAAATAGTAGCCAATGAAGCCAGTCATTTTAAATTTAAACTGCCAAGAGAATATTATTGACAAGTGACACACGCTTTCATTTAAAAAGTATCCAGTATTAGATACAATCGATGGTAGAAAAATACAGGTAGACTCATCGACACAGCTGATGGGACAATGAATTGTCAAACCAATTTTTGAATTGACACTTTTGAATGAAAAATTATTCAAATTTGTAGAATTTGCCAAAGAACGCAAATTATAATAACCTCTGATTTAGGACGAATAAGACAACATGTAACATACATTGAAAAAAAAAAAAATATTTTGACATATCAAAGTTTCCAGCGTTAATGCATCTACCTGTATTCTTCTACCACAGGCACATTGATATGTCAAGTTTTTTTTAATGTTTTTCTTTTTCAAAAATAAGTCGAGAATATAATTGACAACTGACACACGCTTTGATTTAAGGAATTCCTAGTATTATATGCAATCAGCTTTTTTGACACTCTCATAAGATTTCATCAGATGATATGTTTTTATACCCTCCACCATAGTATGGAGGGTATATTAAGTTTGTCATTCAGTTTGTAATACTTCGAAATATACATTTTAGACCCCATAAAGTATATATATTCTTGATCAGCATAAAATTCTATGTCAATTTAGTCTGTCCGTCTGGGGAAATCACTTCTAGCTTCCGAACGAAATGAAGTAGGTCGATAGAATTTTACTCAAATGTATATTATGTCTGCAGGACTTTTGGTATTGAAAATAGGCCATGTAGGTCCACCTTTTTTATAGCCCCCATATAAAGGTACCTCCCTTTTTCCAGTATTTTGGTGATTTAAGCGACAATAATCACCGCAATGGTTTCAAATTTGGTATTTGAAGTTCGTAATGGGTACTACAGCCTACGACAAAAAATTGTCTGTGCTGGTCCACGTCTTCATATAGCCCCCATATAACAGTACCCCCGATATTCGGTATTTTGATGATTTTAGCGACATTATTCACCGGAGTGATTTCACATTCGATATTAGAAGTTCGTAACGCATACCAAAGCATATGACAGAAAATTGTCTGTGCAGGTCCACGTCTTCGTATAGCCCCCATATAACGGTACCTCCCGATATTCGGTATTTTGATGGTTTTAGCGACATTATTTACCGGAATGGTTTCAAATTTGGTATTTGAAGTTCTAAATGGGTACTACAGCCTAAGACAGAAAAGTGTCTGTACAGGTCCATGTCTTCGTATAGCCTCCATATAACGGTACCTCCCGATAGTCGGTATTTCAATGATTTTAGCTACGTTATTTACCGTAATGGTTTCAAAATTGGTATTTGAAGTTCGTAATGAATACTACAGCCTAAGACAGAAAAGTGTCTGTACAGGTCCACGTCTTCCTATAGCCCCTATATTCGGTATTTTGATAATTTTTTTTCAAGTTTCGCATTTGAATATTGTAATGGCTTATGACAAAAGTAGCCTATGCAGGCCCACGGATTTTTTTTCAATTGCCAAAATCGTTCCAAATGGTGGAGGGTATTCAAATATCGGCCCGGCCGAACTTACAGCTTTTTTACTTGTTTACATATGTAGTGTCATATTTTCCATATGTAGAAGTTACACACATCGTGTGACACATGGACGACATATTAGTTGTGAAATTCATGAGTAAAGTACATGTGTACTTTGTCGATCACAGCGAGCCCTATTTTCATCGAAAAATTTTAATTTCATCAAAAGTATTGTTTGTTTGTTGTGTGAAAAAAAAAACATTTGCGGAATAAATCATCCATAGAGTATAATATCTTTTGCGTCTACCTGTATTCTTCTACCATGTTTACAATACTAAAATAATATTATTGACACCTGCCACACATTTAAATTTAAGTTACTATTAATATGAAACTCAATCAGCTGTTTTACTACTTTCTTTTGGCCATATCAGTGCGACCTAATTAAAATGCGTTTACATTGGCCTGTTCTATTTTTGGGAAATCCCTATAAATTTTAATATATTTGCTATTATTACTATAGATATTCCTCAAACTTACTTCATTTAATGCTGTGCAAATTTGTTTCGCTTCAATTTAGTTATTGGTTTCTTCAATTTAGGTTATAAATTATTTTGTTTACAGTTGTTTCATTCTTATATTTGTTTTGTTAACAATCAAAGAAATCTCAAATCTCCGTGGCTAAACAATAGACAGACATACACGCACACATACACACACAAGATTTATGTATGAGTGTGTGTGGGTGTAAATCTATTTTACGCATCTTTCAGACAAACCATTCATCCTTTTGGGCAGCACCCACCGCATTGGCGGGATTTGCCACATTATTGATGGCTATGTTTGTCTGGGACATGCCCAAGTTGTTAGCTGAAGTCGCTGAGAGATCTTGACCTAATTGACGAAATTTGCCAAGCACCAGATGGGACGGACTTTGGTGGCCATCTTCAAGTAGTTGAGTTGCGTGCGGAGGTACCCGTATGGTCCCGCAGGGTGATGCCAGTTTCCCGACGTTGGCGGTAGTTGGGTGTGTTCGCGGCTAAGTGTACCGCCGCCGCCGCCGCCAACGCCGTGTGTGTAATGCAGGTGTTTCGAGGAGCCATTCGTTTCGGCCGTATGGTGTACTGGAAAAAAAAAAATAAATTGTAAAATTATCTGCTCCTTCTGATAAATTGTGTTTTTTGTTTTGTTCCTTCTCACTTACATTGCATGGCCGTTGTGTGTTGATTATTGCCATCCTCCTGTCTCCGACATACACATATGGTTATGCCCACAATGGCTGCACTTATTATCAGCAGGATACTAACCACAATCATTACAATCCATGTCATATCCATGCCAAATACAGTGCTGGTGGTTTCATCTAGCGACAGAGAGAGAGGGAGAGAGAGAGAGGAGAGAAAATATTATTTAAAATATTACATTTGATTAATATAACTATGGCTGAAATGAGGAGCAGTTCTGTTGTTTTTTTGCCATTTAAATGTTGATGTGACAGTTGCTCGGTCTCTCGGTTGTTTGGTTGAATGGTTTAACGAACTCCGGTATTTCATGGAAGTTCATAATGTAACATTTGTTATCAGATATCATGCTGGGGTTTTTTTCACTTCGATGTGTATAAATTGTTTTTATTTTATGAGGTACGGTTGTGGCATGGACACTACTTTGTTGAAAATGCTCATTTATTTGAGAAAAAAATATTGGAATACTTTTTTACACCTGTAAAAACCTAAGCGTTGGAAGTTTTAGAATAAATGTAGGTATTGAGAGTGAGAACCCTTTTAGGTCTTCCCCAAGTCAGCTCATGGCCGTTTAAAGCAGATCTGAAAAATGTGAACAAGTTCGTTCCTTAGTGATCCATAATACCCTAGAAAAATGGCAGCCTTTCCTTTAGCGGAACGCATTTGGATAATAATTTGACATATTTGCATTTAAAGTTAAATAAATTAAGCTACTATTAGACAATATGGGTTTTACATATGTGCTGTCACTTTTATTACCCATGTGAATTTCCGTGTGTATGTCAAAATTGGAATTTTACATATGACTTATAATTCGTGCCATCACACGCTTACATATGTTTTTTTTTGTATTTCTTTAATAGCATGTTTACATACGAGCTTTTGGTTGGGTTAACCTTCATTATTGGAAATTTGAGTCCATTGAATTAAGTAAATTGTAACCGTACTATAAGTTTTACAAGTGGAGAGTTGGAATTTAATATAACATGGGGGTACAGTGGAACGCATTTGAAGAATAATTTGACATACTTGCATTTAAAGTTAATTTTGACACACATTTCATATAAAACGCCCTATAAATGAAAAATATAACCTCCATTATATTGAAATAAAATACGGAGGAGCTACAAAATGTATAAGTTTTACGAGAGGAGAGTTGGAGCTTAATGTCACATGGGGTACAGCGGAACGCATTTGCGCAAAAAAATTAACATATTTGCATTTAAAGTTAAATTTGAGAACATTTTCCACTTTTCATATAAAACGCTCTATAAATGAAAAAGAGAACCTTCATTTTATTAAAATAAAATACTGTGGGGCTACAAAATGTATGTCCCTAAACGGATATTAATTTAATATACAGGGTGAGATAAAAAAAAACTGCAACCAACTTCAGACTATTGTCATGTCCGACAGCTGACAGCTCATTGTATTGTCTACAAGCGTACAAAATGTGGTTTTATCCGATGAGAAAACATTCGTTTTCCAGCAAACAGGCCGCAGACCTTGGACATTCCAACGGGACTCAGCACCAATTTAAAAAAAAAATGTAAAAATTATGGCGTTTTACTTTGTTGCAGTTTTTTTTATCACACCCTGTAATTAAAGCCTGGGATAGTATTTCTAATTCTCAGCAAGCATTGCAAGTTTAAGGCGATGATACATAAGCAGCATGGCATCATGACATGGCATATTTAGTGGCATATCATAAAGGGATGTTAGTGTCGGGATCGAATCTCACCATCATTTTCACTTCTAATTTGACATTAATACAGGTAGATGCATCAATGCTTGGGAACAATGATATGTCAAAATTTTTAATTTTTTTAAAGCAGATTTTTAAATGTTTTTTATGCGACGTCAATTGGAGGTTGTTATGATATGAATTTTTCAATCATTTTTACAAATATCCATATTTTTTCATTCAAAATTTTGCAATCCCAAAATTTGTTTGACAGTCCGTTGTCCCAGCAGCTGTGTCGATGCGACTACCTATATTCTTCTGCCATGCAGTGCTGCTATCTCTTAACCTTTTTTATTTTCCACTGAATTTTGTGCATTGTGAACATACTATAAGGTATCGGAGTGAAGTGTTGCCACACTGAGGAATTTAATCTACAAGAAGGAATATTTGCATAGGTATTCCCTGCCTTACCCCCTGGTAAACATTACCATCGTTCTCCACTAATAAACAAACGTTGTTCTTATAAAAACAACAATAAAGGGATAAAGCCAGACCATTTTGCAACAACAAAATACTACGGTATCCCGAACAAACAAGCCACACTGTTCTATTAATAGACAAGGCACGGTCGACGAAGGGGTTTTTGTTGTAACAGACAAAACCAACTTACATGGTTATGCTACTTCGTTCAGGCTGAACGAAAGCATAACAAGTGGAGAAAGATGTAAATGTTTATAAGTGCGGTTGTAAGATTTAGAAGGCTTTCCAAGAGAATTTTAGTTTTATTTAATTCTTTGGTTCCTCTTCTATTGAGCTTACGATCTCGTCACTTGGGTAAAAAAATGTTTTTGTCATAGAAGTTATTTTTAAAATAACTTCTGGGGAGAATATCCCAGACAAAAACAAGGGAACTGATGAGGATTGGTGGCTCTTTCCGAAACCTAGGTATTCCCTGCTTTAGCCCCTGGTAAACATTACCATCGTTCTCCACTAACAAACAAACGTTGTTCTTATAAAAACAACAATAAAGGGATAAAGCCAGACCATTTTGCAACAACATTTGTAAAAATTGTTGAAAAATGTATGTCATATCACCCTCCGATTGGCGCCGTATAAGAAAACATATAAAAATCTACCTTAAAAAAAAAAACAAAAAAATTTAAAATTTTGACATATCAATTTTCCCAATCCTGTATTCTTCTACTATTATTTTAATCAAATCTGGGAGCTTTTTAAATTTCCAGCAAATATTGCAAGTTTTTCTGTTGTTTTTCAAGTGAATAAAAAAGAAACACTTAACTCTTTTGAAAGACAATTCCCACATAATTATCCATATAAATTTTGCAATTAATAAAGCATTTATGTGTGTACACTTCATTTAATAAAATATACACAAAAAATACGAGTGTAGGAGAGAGACACAGAGAGAAAAAAATCCCCACCGATAATAGCTGTGTCAATTGCGATTACACGGTAATACGGTTGCATGCTGCTGGTGATGACAATGTCTGATAAAAAAAAAAACACAGAACATTCACAAAATTGTGATAAAAACTATAAAAAAAGCTGGAGATAAGCAGCAATCAAAAATGCACACAAAACATTTAAATTGTGTACAAAAAGGAAATAAAAAGTGAAATCAGATATATGTACTCTACACTACAACAAAAGTACATAAATACATATGTATGTATGCACGCATGTGTGTGTGTATTTGTAGTTTTATGTTCATAATCCAGTGAAATGGAACGACATTTTTTTCGCACTTAAATGAGATAGCAGAATGTGAGCAATTGAAAAAGTAAATTAATATAAATACACATACACACACACACTTATATACCCGCAGAATTACTTATGAAATTGCATGTAGTATTTTAATTCACTTAGTTGGTTAATAATGTCAATGCACTTGAAAATGAGTTTATGTGAATGATAGTTTCGAATTCCTCATGTTTAATGCGCTTAAGGGACAGGGGGAGGAAGTAAATAAAATAACATTTATATATGAGCAATTTGACATTAAAATATTGTGACATTTGTCGTAGGTTTGTGTTTAAGGGGGAAGTAATGCCAAATGATAGGGCAAACTAAATCAAATTATTCTAGGTAGAGATTTTTAGATCGTCTTTTTTCTTCGTAGGATTTTTAATCTGATGAACTAAAATCTATTTTTATTTTATATTAATTTTAACAATGTCAATGCACTTGACAAAAGTTTCAAGTTTCTCACATTTGATTTCATAAGAACGGGGGAGAAAGTAAATAAATGTCGTACGTTTGTGTCCAAGAGAGAAGCAATGGCAAATAATAGAGCAAACTAAATCAAATTATTCAAGGTAGGGATTTTTAGATCGATTTTTGTTCATCATAAAAAAATCATCATCAGTGACATTTTCTATAATAAATGTCATTATCGATGACATTCTTTATAAAATGTAATTACCGATGATAAGAAAAGTCATTGTCGATGACATTTTCTATAGGAAAAGTCATCGTCGATGACATTTTCTATTGGAAAAGTCATCGTCGATGACATTTTCTATTGGAAAAGTCATCGTCGATGAAATTTTCTATTGGAAAAGTCATCGTCGATGAAATTTTCTATTGGAAAAGTCATCGTCGATGACATTTTCTATTGGAAAAGTCATCTTCGATGACATTTTCTATTGGAAAAGTCATCGTCGATGACATTTTCTATTGGAAAAGTCATCGTCGATGACATTTTCTATTGGAAAAGTCATCGTCGATGACATTTTCTATTGGAAAAATCATCGTCGATGACATTTTCTATAGGAAAAGTCATCGTCGATGACATTTTCTATACGAAATGTCATCGCGGATAACATTTTTTATACGAAATGTCATCGTCGATAACATTTTCTATACGAAATGTCATCGTCGATAACATTTTCTATACGAAATGGCATCGTCGATAACATATTCTATACGAAATGCCATCGTCGATAACATTATCTATACGAAATGTCATCGTCGATAAGATTTTCTATACGAAATGTCGATAACATTTTCTATAACTAATGTCATCGTCGATGACATTTTCTATACGTAAAGAAAATGTTATCGACGATGACAATTTTCTATAGGAAAAGTCACCGTCGATGACATTATCTATAGAAAAAGTCATCGTCGATGACATTATCTATAGAAAAAGTCATCGTCGATGACATTTTCTATAGGAAAAGTCATCGTCGATAACATTTTCTATACGAATTGTCATCGTCGATAACATTTTCTTTACGAAGTGTCATCGTCGATAATATTTTCTATACGAAATGTCATCATCGATAACATTTTCGAAACGAAATGTTATCGTCGATAACAATTTTCTATAATAAATGTTCTCATCGATGACATTTTCTATACGAAATGTCATCGTCGATAACATTTTCCATACGAAAAATCATTATCAATGACAGTTCCGGTAGAAAAGTAATCGTCAATGACATTTTCCTTATCTTCGATGATTTTTTTCAGTAAAAAAACTAATCCCCTAAACATTTTAGCATTGAAAAAAATTATTAAATTTTTCTTAGTGTACCCGAGGTATACCGCACATTTATCAACCATATAATAAGATTACCAACCAACACATTTAAATTACCGAGTCATAAATCGTAACTATGGCTATTATTATTGATATCGGCTGGCATGAATTGTCTTTGGCGGCGTCATCACACCATGGCAGTAGTCAGCAGGTCATTACTAGGACTATTACCAACTAAATTACTGGCCTAAAACATACACCTGCATGGTTTATAATCAGCAGCTATTAGAAATGAGCACACACCGACCACCTCCGCATAGCGCCACAGTGGCCAGCAGGCAAAATCACTTGTCTGTTATCAACTTCTTTGCCATCTTCAACAAATCACACCAACGGATACAGGGGGAAATAAATTTCGCAAAAAAAAAAAATGCCCGCCAAAAACAAATGAAACCAAAAGAAATGGCGCTCCGTTATCCATGATGTATGGCCATATAATATACTTACTCGCACATAGCTATGTGTTTGTGTGTTTGGGGGGATAAATGAAGCCATGGAGGTACTTACTTTGGCATAAATTATGCACCGATTCATCGGAGTTATCGCTGCAATGATTAATGCCATCGCACAGTAGATCAGGATTTATGCAAAAACCATTTGATTCACAGGTGAAATCTTTGCATGTATGCTCTGTAAAGAGAGGGAGAGAGAGAGGAGAATAAAGTGTGAGAGAGTGGGTGAGAAAAGGGAAACATGTAATAAAACAAATGTTAAGTTAAATGAATTAGAAGCAGCAGAGAAGAAGAGAAGGCATCAGAGAATATATTGCTTGCTTTCATGTTTCGTTTTTTTATTTTTTCCTATCCTTTTTTCGGTTAGCAATAATTCACCAAAGACAACAGCAAAAACAACAACAACAACACGAACAACAACAATCATTTGTATAACCCGCCATGATTATAAATTTATAAGATAGCACGATTGTTGAAAAGTGTTAAGAATGTGTTATTTCCGTTTTGGGGCTCGTTGTTTCTTATTTTCTTTGTTTCTTGTTTCTTTTCGTAGCTATCCCGGCAAATTGATAATGTGAAAATGTGGAAGGTCATAAATAAAAGAAAAAAGAAAAAACAAAAAACCCAAGAAAAATGGTAATTGGATGTTGTTGCTTTCAAGTTTAAATAATAGTCTCGAGTCCATCATTGTGTGGCGTATATATTATGACAGTCAGCATACGTCATGGGGGGTCGCAGGCAGAGAGAGGGAGACGGGATTTGTTTTTCAGAAAAACGAATTATAACAAGTATTTTATATGGAAATATTTTTGAAGACTTGATTGCGGATTTTTTAAGGGACATATTTCAAGGGTTTTGTTGAGGGTTTTTTTTTAATAAAATTTTGGAAGGACTAGTCGTGAATATTTTTAAAACATATTCTAAGGTTTTGAAGTAAAGAGACGTGGATTTTTATAGAATATTTTCAAAGGACTCGACGCGCCTTGGACAAAGATTTTTTAAAGAAGGACTTTAAAGGATCTACTTTTATAAAAAGACGTGGAAATGAATAGAATATTTTCTAAGGACTTTCAGACCAAATGGAACGTGGATTAAAAAAACCTTTTGAAGGACTTTCAGACCGAAAAACATTGATTTTTCAAAGGATATTTTTCAAGAACTTAAAATGCCTTGAACGTGTATTTTAAGGACTTTCGGAGCAAAAGAAATTGATTTTTCAAAGAGTAATTTCGAATGATTTGAAGCGCCTTGGACAAAGATTTTTTAAAAAAGAATTTCGTAGGATTGGTTTTATAAAGTAATTTTTTTAAGGACGTTCGAACTAAAAAACTTGGATTTTTATAAAATATTTTCTAAGGATTTTCAGATTAAAAGATACGTGGATTAAAAAAGAAACATTTTTAAGGACTTTTAGACCAAATAACATAGATTTTTCAAGGACTTAAAAAGCCTTGGACGTGTATTTTTAAGAGAATCTTTTTAAAGCACATTCGAAGCAAAATACATTGATTTTTCAAAAAAGTATTTTCGGAATACTTGAAGTGCCTTGGACAAATTTTTTTTAAAGAAGGATCTGGGTTTGTAAAGCCTCTGTGTTTGTAAAGAAATTTTTTTAAGGACATTCGAGCCAATGTTTGGAATTTTATAGAATATTTTCTAAGGGCTTTCAGATTAAAAAAGTCGTGGATTAAAAAAAAACATTTTTTACGGATTTTTAGACCAAAAAACATTGATTTTTCAAAGGATATTTTTCAAGGGCTTAAAATGCCATGGACATGGACTTTTTAAAGAATATTTTATAACGACTTTTGAAGCAAAAGAAAATGATTTTTCAAAGAGTATCTTTGAAGAACTTAAAGTGCCTTGAACATGGACTTTTTAAAGAAGGATTTTAAAGACGAAAGGCGTGGATTTTGTAAAGAATATTTTCCGAGGATTTGAGACGTGGATTTTTTAAAGAATTTTTCCGAGGATTTGAGACGTGTATTTTTTAAAAATTATTTTCCGAGGATATGAGACGTGGATTTTTTAAAGAATTTTTTCGGAGGATTTGAGACGTGGATTTTTTAAAGCTGTTTTTCCGAGGATTTGAGACGTGGGTTTTTTAGAGATTTTTTTTCGAGGATTTGATACGTGGATTTTTTAAAGAATTTTTTTCCGAGGATTTGAGGTCCAATATACCTTGATTTTTTAACGAATATTTTCCGAGGATTTGAGGCCCAATATACCTTGATTTTTTAAAGAATATTTTCCGAGGATTTGAGGCCCAAGATACCTTAATTTTTTAAAGAATTTTTTCCGAGGATTTGTGAATTGGATTTATTAAAGAATATTTTTAAAGATATTTAGCCCAAGGGACGTGAATTTTCTAAGGAATGTTTTTAAAGGATTTTTAGCCCAAGGACATTACTTTTCTAAGGAATGTTTTTAAAGGATTTTTAGCCCAAGGACGTCAAATTTCAAAGATTTTTTCTAAAAGACTTTCAAGCCCTAAACCCTTAAATTTTCAAAAAATATTTTTAAAGACTTTTTAATGAAACTTTAGGAAAAAAGTGGTTTCTTTAATGAATAAACTTCAAGGACCTCAAAAAAAATTTTTAAGGACTCTTAGGGCAATTTTTTTAGATAATAATGTTTAATAAGTCTGAAAGAATATCTTTTCTAGGATTTTAAGGTTTCAAGGCCAAAATTCATGGAATTTTAAAGAATATTTGGAAGGAATTTTAAAGAATAATTCTCAGGGAATTTTAAATATTTTTCAAAATATCTTTAAGAAATATTTTAAGGGACTCCCTGAACAAAAATTGTGGATTTTTTAAGAACTATTTTTCAAGGATTTTTAAACATCCTCATGTAAAAACTAGGACTTTTTAAAGACGTGCATGTTCGTCTGCAAACTCTTTTTATTTTTCTATTGTTTTGTTTGCTGACGCGGAGATTCAAACCGGCGTCCTTAGGTTTTCACCGCTGTTTCAGAACTCATTCAAATGGTTTAAAATTCTAAGGGTATTTGTGGATGTTCAAAGAATATTTTTCAAGGTTTTGTAAAAGACTCTACAAAAATAATATTTCCTTAGATTTTCTTATCCCTATTTTAGATGTTACATAAATAAATTATTATTTGAAATATATTATCAATGAAACATTAAAATAGTATGACATTTGTCGTACGTTTGTGTTGAAGAGGGAAGTTAAATTAAATGATAGGGCAACCTAAGTCAAAGTCGTCAAGATAGGGTTCTGTAAATCAATTTTTTAATTTTCAATGATAGAGCAACCTAAGTCAAAGTCGTCAAGATAGGGCTCTTTAAATCGACTTTTTACTTCGCCATTGAAAAGGAAAAATGATTTTCTTTCATATTCATCCTTTTTTTGGCTAAATGAAAATAAAAATTTATATATTTTTTCAAGATAAATTTCTACAAATAGACTTCTTTCCTTGTCGTTTTTATAACCTGATAGAATGTGCAAACAATTTTCTTTTATATATAACGTAGTAAATAATAACGTCGGATTTTTTTATGATGGAAAATAAATGAAGTGGTAAAATAATAAAAATGTGTTTGTTGTAGTTGCTGTTGTTTTTAAATTTTGAACATTTTGTGTATTGTAACTGCTTAAATGAATCTTTAGGGTAATCTATTCCGATGCCTTCAAGGTAGGGCTCTATAAATCGATTTTTTTCTTTTGCGGAATTTTTGCTGTATTTGTTATTGCCTTTCAATTTTCAAGATTTTGAGCAACGGAACTCCCCACATAAATTTCTACGAAATACTTACTTGGATCCTTTACCGATGTTATGACCAATTTGAAACCATTCGTATCCGTACCCCAATTGTCTGTCACATATTTGAGCGTAACGAAATTGGTGCGGGTCAATATTGAACTGACCGTTTGCTTTGTCTGGCGACAGGATATATCGATCTGCAAGTAAAAAAAGAAGAGAAAAATTAAAGGATGCCTATAAAAATTTATCAAAAAAGACGGGGAAATGGTATAATTTGAAAATCTTAAAAAAGGACCTCTGAGAAAGGAGCCTCAGAGAGTCCAAGGCCATTTTTACAGGATATAAATTCAGAGTCCCAGTAAGTAGTCAGCCGTATTTCTACCTTAGAACCATGGACCTATACGTTATTCCGTTAAGTATACGCAACCATGGTTTATAATTCATATATCTTGATTTTCTCGCAAAACATGTTGCATACTTTTAGGAGTCTTTATGAGAAAAATTAATAATTTAAAATAGTTAAAACCGCCTAGAAAGGGGCCACAGATAAGGAATTGGACCGAAATTCATCTAAGGTCCAATTCTCTATCTGTGGTCCCTTTCTAGGTGGTTTTAACTATTTTAAATTTTTAATTTTTCTTCTTCTGTCCAATTCCTTATCTGGGATCCCTTTCTAGGAGGTTTTAACTATTTTTTCAGATTACCTGTAGTTAAATAACCTTATTTTTACCCTGGGCGTATATACTGTGAAAATGGCTCATAGTTGATATTTCTTGATATTCATGCAAAATGCATTCCATACTTTTAGGAGACAATTTGAGAAAAAAACAAAAATTTAAAATAGTTTTAAAAAGACCTCGGAAAAGAATTTTTGGAAAGACCGAATTTTGTTCAAGAGCGCATTAATTCTGAGTAAATAAATAACCTTATTTGGTACCTTGGTACAATGGACGTATACGCCATGACAGTAATCATACGCCATAAGGGCTCATAGTTAATATTTCTTGATCTTTTTCTTGATGCAAAATGTATTGCATACTTTTAGGAGACTCTATGAGAAAAAAATAATAATTTAAAATAGTTCAGAGAAGACCTCGGAAAAAGGAGTTTCAGAGAGACCGAATTTTGTTCAAGAGCGTATTAATTTTGAGTAAATAAATATCTTTATTTCTACCTTGGACGTATACGTTTGTGACACTAATCATACGCCACCATGTCTCATAACTAATATATCTTGATTTTCCTGCAAAATAGATTGCATACTTTTAGGAGTCTTGTTGTTAAAGCCTCTTAATGCAACAGAAGAAATTCTCATTTTAGTCTTAAAAAAAAAAAACAGACAATATTAGCCAGAAGAAATTGTAATGGAATGTAACTTGGGTGGCAGAAGGAGGGTGTTGTCTCCCAGATTTTCAATGAACCTCTGCTAAGTCAACTAAGTGTGTCAGGATATGATGTTGTGCTTTTTACTATCCCAGAACAATGTATGAAAAAAAAATTTGTATTTTTCTCCAAGGCACCAGGCTGAAAAGAGGTTATCGTCAAGACGTTGTGGTTGGTTGTTTGTTCGTCATCATCTTCATCTTCTTATTGGCGTTGGTGCTTATTGTCATAGACTTTGTCATTGTCGTCGTCGTCGCTTTTTTCCTTCTGGTTTCTTCATCCTATCCAATAACAATGAGATTTGTGGTTGCTTCTATTTTTTTTACTTCGAGCTTCAAGTTATTTGTTTGTTACTGCTGGGAGGTTGTTTTTTCTTTCCTATAAGACGTTTCGAGAGCAAGAAGCCGAATAGGAAGACTAAGCTCAAGAAAATGGCTATTGAACAGAGAAATATTTGGGTTAGGAAGTCAATGCGCAACAAATACGGAAGCAGGCCTTGCGGGGTGCAGAGCGAGAGAGAGAATGAAAAGCTAAACACACAAAAACATTTACAACTATTGTGACTAGATTTCCAAGCCATAAACTCTTATATTTACACAGACATATCAACACACACAAACACATCGACAAAAGATCCAACCACATTACAAAAGATTCTCTGGTTCGAATAAAAATATTGAAAATATAAAAACCAGAGTTTTTAACTAAAGACTAAATTCCATGTCACATACATTGTGATACACAATGGATTTATGTGTGTATGTGTGCGTGTGTGTCTGCATTGTTAGCCTCTTCAATTGAAATTCGAACATTTGGTTTATTGCCTGAGTAAATATTTGAGATTTTTTGCAATGAAATTAATTGTTATTTAAATGATATTTGTCTAAATAGGTTTATTGTATTATTTCAATGTTTTTTGCCTAAAAGTATACAACATATTTTGGAAATTAAAAATAATTGCAGAAGGGCCTCAATAGCCAGAATTGGGATTTTTTTTAATAATTTCTTAGGAATCTTAGTTTCTTGATCAGGATTTTTTCATGAAGAGATTTCAAGGACTTTTTTTCAAGGATGCATAGACCTAAAATCCTGAATTTCTTAAATATCTTTTTATAATTTCAAAGTATTGCCTAAAAGCATGCAACATATTTTGGAAATTGAAAAAAATTGCTGAAGGGCCTCAAATGCCAGAATTGAAATTTGTTAAAACAATTTTTAAGGGATGTCAGTTTCTTGATCAGGATTTATCAGGACCAATAAATCGAATTTTTTTTAAAGAATTTTTTTAAGGATCCATAGACCAAAAAACTTGGATTTTTTCAAGGATAAGCGTGGATTTTTAAAAAAAAATTGTTTCAAGAACCCTTAGGCTAATAAGCGTTGATTTTTAAGATTTATTTTTAAAGACCCATTGACCAATAGGAATGGATTTTACAAAGAATTTTTTCAAGGACCCACAGGCCTATAAGCAAGGATTTTTCACGGACCAATAGGCCAGTAATCTTCATTTTTCAAAGCATTTTTTTTGTAAATAATTTTTTCAAGTACCCATAGTTCAATAATCTCTGATTTTATAATATTTAACCCATTGCCATAAAACTTTTTTTAAGGACTCATAGGATCCATAGATCAATAATCTTGTATTTATTGAAGAATTTTTTTCAAGGACCCATATGGCAATAATCAAGGATTTTCGGAAGATTTTTTTAAGGACCCATAAACCAATAATCAATGATTTTTCAGGTATCCATTGCCCTAAAATCTTCGATTTTTAAAGGATTTTTTCAAGAATTTATTGGCCAGTAATCAATGAAATTTTGAAGATTTTTTTAAAGTGCCCATAGGCCGATAGTCAAGGATTTTTTGAAGAACTCAAGGTTTTTTTGAAGAATTTTTTTCAAGGACCAATAGGCCAATAATCAAGGGGTTTTTACAGAATTTGTTTCAAGGGCCCATATATCAATGGGCGTGAATTTTTTAAAGATTTTTTTTCAAGGACCCAAGGTTAATAATCGAAGATTTTTCAAAGGACTTTATTCAAGGACTCATATCATAATCCCTGATTTTTCGGAGATTTTTTCAATAACCCATAGAACAATAATCGTGGATTTTTTCAAGAACCCATGGACCAATAATCGAATATTTTTCAAGGACACTTAGACCAATATTTTTAATAATTTTTTCCAAGCACCCATAGACCAATAAGCGTGGATTTTAAAGATAGACCAATAAGCGTGGATTTTTTAACGTTTTTTTTCAAGGACCCATAAAACAACATTCAAGGATGTTTTACGAATTTTTTTCAAGGACCCATAGGGCAATAATTATGGGTTTTTTGAAGATTTATTTCCAAGGACCCATAGAGTAATAATCAAGACTTTTTCAAAGATTTTTTTTCAAGGAACCATAGGCCAATTATCAAGGATTTTCTGAAGATTTTCTAGATCAAAATGCGTGGATTTTTAAAATATTTTTTGAAGGACCTATATATCAAGGATTTTGTAGAAATTTTTTCCTAGGACCCATAGGCCAATAATTAAGGATTTTTTGTATAATTTTTTTCAACTGCTATAGGCCAATAATCATGGATTTCTAAAGAATTTCGCTAAAAGATACATAGACTTTAAATTTTGTTTTTTTTAATAATTTTTTTTAATGACCCAAAGACCAATATGGGTGGATTTTTAAAATATTTTTTAAGGACCCATAGGACAATAGCTAGGATTTTTTAACGATTTTTTAAGGACACATAGACCAATAGCGTGGATTTTTTAAAAAAGTTTTTCAAGGACCCATGGGCCAATAATCGATGATTTTTCAAATGATTTTTTTCAAGGAACCATGGGCCAATAATCGAAGATTTTCCAAGGATTTTTTTTTTCAAGGAACCATAGACTAATAATCCAGGATTTTTTGAAGATTTTTTTTTTCAAGAACCCATAGAATAATAATCGGGGGGTTTTTAAATATTTTTTTAAAGGACCCATAGGGCAACAGTCAAGGTTTTTTTGAAGAATTTTTTAAAGAACTCATAGGCCAATTATCAAGGAATTTCTGAAGAATTTTTTTCAAGGTCCCATAGGCCAATAATCAAGGATTTTTTTGAAGAATTTTTTCAAGGATCCATAGACCAATAGCGTCGATTTTTTAAAGTATTCCATGAAGGACCCATAGACTTAAAAATCCTGGGGTTTTTAAAGAACCAATAACCTAAAATCTTTGATTTTTTTCAAGGACCCATAGATCTAAAATTCTGGATTTTTCAAAGATTTTTTTCAAGGACCCATAGACCTGAAATACTGTATTTTTCAAAAAAAAATTTTTTCAAAGACTCAATGACCTAAAATCTTACATTTTTTCAATGACCCATGGACCTAAAATTATTGATTTTTCAAAGAATTTCTTTAAAGGACCAATAGTTCTAAAATCCTGGACTTTTTCAAAGATTTTTTTCAAGGTCCGAAGGGGTAATATTTATGAAGTTTTTAAAGTATGAACCCATAGATCTTTATTTGTGGAGTTTTCAATGAGCCTTAGACCAATAATGCTGGACTTTTTTTTAAAAGAATTGTTTTTTCATGGACCCATTGTCTTACAATCTTGGATTTCTCAAGCAGATTCTTTGAAGGCTACTAATCAGAAGCTAAAAAAAAAAATTAAGGACTCAAAGAGCAAAATTCGTGGATTTCTTTAGAATTTTTTCACTGATTTTTTTCTTTGTAATTTAAGACACCTGACTGAGACCTCTTGAATAAGGAATATAATGTTTCTTTCCTTCCTCATTTTAAGCGAACAACCAATGATTTTTATAGCC